GGTTCACCTCGGGGTTTACCTTCCCAGTCAGTGCTTCAGGGCTCCATCCTGTCTTTTTGGGGAGAGAGAGACGGTAATTTGGTGTGTCAGGCACACGCTTCAGCTGCTGCGGCTGGGTTGTGTAACTGAGGAGTGCACTTGCTCTTGAACTCAAGGTGGATCACAGCAAGCTGCTGCTGGCTCGACAGGAATCTGAGTAAACAAAAAAAAAATAATCTAAAGCTGGGAGAGCATTAGCTGGGAAATGGCCTCGGTGCTCTGAAGGCGAAGGGTAACTTTGCAGAGCAGCTGAGGTCTGTGCACGGGGCTGGCTGGGTGCTCCCGGGTGCCGGTTTCCCACTGGGAGAGACGAGTGCTGCTGCACGGGTAGAAGATGAGATGCTGATGGGGAGCTTGAGATATGGAGGTCCAGCTGGGATCCTGGAGGTCAGTTGGGAATGGTGGGTATAGAGGGAAGAGGGGGCGAAAAGAGTGACATAAAGGTGTAGGGTAATACAACAGCAATTTTGCAAAATGAAGCTGAGACTCTGAGTAAACATGCATGTATATTGCTTGTGCATGCGTGTATTCCAACCTCTGTGTGTGCTGATTGTACGAGCAAACGAGCTGTAAGACACAATTCCCGTTTGCCTGCGGTCAGGCAGGATGCTCCCTTGGCCATCAGCCAGGGTTTCTTCATCTGACATCTTCATCTTCAAAATTTTGGGCAACTCCCTGTGGCCCCACAAGGAGTTAATGTCTTTCCAGCCTGATGGAAGTGAGTTCAGATCAATAGTTGGTGGGTCTCTTACTGGTTCAACAAACCTGAATCTGCCTGGAGGCTTGATTTTTGAGCAATAGCCGCTTGGCAGCGGTTGCGTAAGGCTGGTGTTGGTCGTGGTTGCCCTTGCCTGGCGTGGGCTTTGGGCGTTCGTCGGCTGCTGAAGGCCAGGTTCCGCCATCTCCCCCCATGTCCTCACCTTGAATCACCAAAATATTGCCTTGTTGTGCCTTGAGGCTTTGGGGAGCCTGGGTGATTTCATCTGCTTGGAGCAAAACCAGTGGCCGCGGGGATGTTTGCGGGCTCTGGCCGGCGCTGGCTGCAGGAGCAGCTGCTGGGTTTTCCTTCATGGGGACCAGATGTGCCGGTCGGTGCTGCTGTTCTGGCACGCTCGGCTGCCTGTGTTTTTGCTCTCAAGGCGTAGTACAGGGACTGCTGAGCAGGGTAAACCCCAGACTCTCGGTTTCACAAGCCCCAAACCATCTGAAACAGCAGAAAAAAGCAGAAACTTGCTTTGCTCTTCGATACCCTTCTCACAGACAACTTTTTCACAGTGAGTAACATGATCCTTTTTACAGCGAGCCCAACAGGAGATGGGCTCCTCTAGTCCATAAAGTTACCGTCAAACTTCCAGACCACTTTATTTGCCTTTCTGGGTTTGTTCTATATTTTTTTTTTCTCTTTGAATGTCGCAAGCGACTTCCCGGTGCTAGTCAGCGGAGGGTGCAGCTGACCTTCGGGAGGGGCTGTGCAGCCCGTCCCCAACCTGTGCCAAGGCATCGCCGTGGAGCCAGCTGCCATTTCTACCAAATTCTGCTGGTTTTGCTTGGAAACAGTTCCCAGAGTATCACTTTAGCACTGTCAGTCCTTGCTTACAGCTCTCTGCTCCTGCTCTTCTCTACTGGGGTAAAGTGCCATGAATTTAGCTGACTTTTTTCCTTTTTTAATTATTTTTTTTATTTTTTTATTTGTTAGGTTTATTGCTGCCTCCTCCCAAGGCTGGCAGCAGGGCAGCACTGTATACAACCCGAGATTATGACTGTCTCGAGGTGTCACCCCGTTTCAGGACACAAACGCCTGTTGATCCACCAACTTTCTGCTGGTGTTTTGACTCACAGCGGGTTTGGTTCCCGAATGAGCCATTGTATTCCCAGCTGCATCCCCCATGGACGTGCCTGGGAAGCTCGTGGCCCCCTAAAAGCTTGTTACTGTGCAGATTGCCCATCTCCTGCAACATACAGTTATTTAAGAGGGTGACAGAGGCATGGCATAGGTGTGACTGTTGCAATGGTGTCATCACATTGGGCGGTGGTAAGGTGGGTAAGGTCTGCAGCCGAGCACAAAGGTCCCCTTGTCTCAGCCATTTCCCTGATGTGGAGGAAAATGGGGGTGTTCCCCAGCCTGATCTGCTTTCCTCGTACCATAAAACCTCAGCATGTTGGAATAGGTGGAGATGGCTGGGAAGAGCCTTTGGCTGTGCGGTGCAAGGTGTTGATGCTGAGCTGGGGATGCTCAATGGGATTGTAGCTGGGGATGCTCTTTGGGATCGTGGCCACCCCAACCTGCTTGGCCCTTTTGGCTTTGGTGTCGAGAGCTGCTCCAGCATCAGGCACGGAGAGCAGCACCAAAACTGCTTGAAACCAAATTTGCTCTTTAGTGTTGTCTTGCACAGATTCCTTTTTTTCAGTGGTTTTTTTTTGTCACCCTATACACTTTATTTGGCCTTGGAGTAGTGAACTGAACTCCAGTGGCTAATCAGAGCTTGCTTCATTACTCTGTTGCTTTTGCCACCAAGACTGTGTGCATCAGCCAGAAAGGTCTGGTTTTGCACGCTGCTGGGCAGTCCTGTGGTGGGGGACCAAACCAGCAGACACCCCTTCTTGTTGAATATGTCCTCCTGCTCCTGGCCTTCTCTTTCAGAGATCTGAGTGGTGCCAGCCACGAAACCTGAGCAGCTGGATTTTTTTTAGGGATCAGAAATGCCAATCTGGATAAATAGCAGATGCTCGATGCTGCTTAGCCTTCCCGCACTGGGACTTGTTGTTGTCCCTAAGCTTGGAAGCACATGTGCAGCTGAAGATCTGGAGATGTTCAAAAGCACCAGTGCTGCTTTGGTTGAGATAGAGTTTAAAAAAAAACCAAAAACCAAAAACAAAGCAAGCAGAAAACAAACCTGGTGCTGTCATGGTAGTGTGGGTCCCACTGGCTTTAGTTACGTGGATGAGTGATGGAAAGATGCTGGAGATGGGAAGAAAAGGGAGAGCAGGATGGGACCCGCGGCGTGTGCTTGTAGCAGGGTTGTCCATGGGTTTTCCAGGGTCTGACTTGATGCAGAGGGAGAAATTGGGATTGGAGACGGCAGCATGCAGCTCACCCCCAGCCAGGCAGGAGAGCCGCTGCCTGTTCTGCCGATCCTGACACCCTGTGCTGGCACGGGGAGGAGGATGAGGAGTGCAGGTGACCCCCCCCAGGCGGGATCCTGCTGAGTCTGGTTTGCTAATTCAGGGTTGCGTCATGAAGATTACAGGCGGCAGGTTTCCTTAGAGCCAGCTAAGCGTTTTGTTAAGTCGTATCTTAAGGGAGGGGAAAAATGAAATACTCCCTTTAAGCCTTTGCCGCCTGCCAGGGCAGCCCCGCTTTTTGTTTTAATTTGATGTGCCGTAATTAACCTGGCCACCGCAGGATTCTTGTCAGCTCCTGCGGGCTTGCCTGCTTCTGCCTGCTCTGTAATTGCTGCTTCAGGAGAAAAAAAAAAATAAAATAATTAAAAAAAAAATTGAACTGTTTTGTACAAATCTCAAGCCATATATTATTTAGCAGGTGCAACAGAAATGTGCTGTGTGTTTCCAGGAAGCAAGAGACTGCACCAAAAATTATGAGGCACGGCTTGCGGCTCTGCCGCGATGTGCCTTCTGCAGAGTCATGTTCCTCATTCCTTTTTTTTTTTTTTTTCCCCTCCTTCTGAATATATTCTTGCTGGCTGATAGCCCAGAATAGGTAGCAGAGCAAAAATGAGGCTTGTATAACATAGCAAAGTGATTTATGTGCCTGGCTGTGCCGTTGGAAGGCGTTGGGGTCTCTGGTCTTTTTAGCTTCAGCGTTAAGAAAGCTCCTTTGGAAATTCAACGTAATGTTGGCTCGTTCCTCTCTCTCTCTCCTAACTCAGCCCACAGCCGTTTGAAAACATATTTTTTTGTTGCTTTGCATGTGGTGTGAGGATGTGTCAGCCTTTCTTCTGATATGCCTTTTGTTCTTGGCATCTTATCTCCGCTGGCATAACTGCCACTAAATCCAGGGACCAGAGGTCTTCTGGAGGAAGCAGAGGTCCTGCTGGGTAGACAGGGCTTCTCTTGGGGATGGAGCAGCCTCGATGCAAAGGAATGAATGGAATAAAGCCCTGGGACTGGAAATAGGTAAAGATAAACAGATTTGTGGTCGTCATCTAGCCAAGCCCAGCTGGGTGCAATTCAGTGTCGGAAAACTGGAGACCTTTTACCTGTGGCTGATGCAATGAGGAACTGAGTTACAGCAGAGCTCCTCAGAGAGCTTAAAAATAGCATCGGGTTTTCTCTCCTGTTGCTCGTGCATCTGGCTGAAAGTGGGTTCAGATGTGGTTGGAGGCTCAAAACAGAACATCCCTTGAGGTCTCGCCAAACCGTCCGCTTGTGCAGGGACGTAAAATTCGTGGAAGGGCAGAAGGGTTGAGAAATAGCTCGGTAACGCCTGCTAGCCTGGATTTCGTCCCAGTGTGTGTTATTTAGAAAGTGATTGTATTATTTGAACAAGTGCAAATTAATAAATACAGAGGAGGAAAGTTTTACAGGTCAGGGCTGCCACCTGCGTGTGTTTTTTATCTTCTCGGCGAGCGCCTGGCTCGTGCTGGAGCCTCTCGGCCTTGAAATGCAAAGCTGGGCTGAATTCTCCTGGGGTGGCCAGGTAGCACGTACTGCTGAAACACAATTAGCAGTATTTACCGCCCTGGCAGGGTTGCAGTGTAAATGATGCTTAGCCTTGCCGAGAAGCGTGGTATCAAATATAAGGAATTATAATTGTAGCTGGCGATGTGTCCGGAGAGCGTGCTGCTGTCTGTACTGATTTTCCTCCACCCCAACCTCGCCGAGCTCCCACCCCTGGGTGTAGAAACATCTCTGTAGTCCCACAGCTCAGGGACATCCCTTGTGATCCTTCAAGGGATTGCTGGCAGAGAGGGCTCTGGTCATGTGCTGTCCTTGACTAATAGCTCCCGTCTGTTTTCCAGCTGCTCGTGCTCCTTGGCACTGCTGACGGTCAGTCGAAGCTGACCTCTGAGCAGAATGCCATCAGCCTCGCCCCTGGCAAGTACCGCCACTTCGACCACGCCACCAACCAAGAGCTGATCTGTGACAAATGTCCCGCAGGAACCTATGTGTCTAAACATTGTACGAAGAGCACCTTAAGAGAGTGCAGCCCTTGTCCAGATGGGACCTTTACTAAGCACGAGAATGGCATAGAGCGGTGCCACCCTTGTAGGAAACCCTGCGAACTGCCAATGATTGAGAAAACTCATTGTACTGCCTTGACTGACCGCGAGTGCACTTGCCTGTCTGGTACGTTCCAGACGAACGATACCTGCGTCCCTTACACGGTGTGCCCGGTCGGTTGGGGCGTCCGCAAGAAAGGAACCGAGACAGAAGACGTTAGGTGTAAGCCGTGCCCTCGTGGTACCTTTTCTGATGTGCCTTCTAGCGTGATGAAGTGCAAAACATACACTGACTGCTTTGCGAAAAATATGGTGGTCATCAAGCCGGGGACCAAGGAGAGTGACAATGTCTGTGGTTCTCCAGCGTCTCTTCCAAACACATCTTTGACTTCGTCAAGCACCGAAGTGGGTGAAGACCCCTATGAAGTTCCACCAACTGCTCCTCTTCCCAAAGGTAATGTCCACCACTGAAACACAGACATGTTTTTGGTCGTGGGATTGCTTGCCTTGGTCAGGGTTGCCTTTAGGCTGTTCAAGGACAGCCTGGTATAAAGTGTGGTTGGTGCTTTTGCTTCTTGGCCAGAAGGCAGCTCCAGAGTGCATCAGGTTGCCCTCCCTTGCGTTGAACCACATTTAATAAAATTTTCACTGAGAGTGTAGTTGTGATTGAACTCCTGTCTCTCCTACTGTTGGGACTGAAAGGACATCGTGTTCCCCCAGCTTCTTTTCACATCTGTGTGTTGTGCTGGCACAAGTCTTGGTTCATTTGTGGCAAACCTGAGTCGGGATGCAGCAGAAAAACACAGAGGGGGGGAGGAGCTTTGCTCCACCAGTCTCCTTCTCTGATGGATTCACTGCTTTTATGCCCGTGCTTTCATAGAATCATGGAATGGTTTGGGTTGGAAGGAACCTTAAAGATCGTCTAGTTCCAACCCCCCTGCCATGGGCAGGGACACCTCCCACTAGACCAGGTTGATCAACACCCCATCCAGCCTGGCCTTGACCAGGGTGGTCCAGCCTTCCCTGTTGCATTTCACCCTGTAACTGTGCCCAGCGTATTGGCTTAAATGGGAACCTTTGGCAAAACAGCCCTCCAGGAGCCTAGGTTGTCCTGTAACTTCTTTTTCTTCAATCTTTAAGATTTCCATTAGTTCTCACTGGTGGGGAGAACCAGGTTGAGTTCCCCATTTGCTCGCTTAATTGGAAAAGGTGCATCACTGCAATCTTTTCCGAGACGCTTTAGCCATGGCTAGTTGCAGTGGTGTTGTCAGACCCCATTTGAGGTGGTGCTCAGCACTCCCTGGGAAGCAGCTTCCTTAAAGTGTCTCAAATGGGGCATTTTAATTAAAAAATGCAACTTTTGGTAGCCTGAATGCTTGAGTTGGTAAATCCAGTAGCAGGGAAGTGATGACAGTGGTAGACTCCCAGTGCTTCTCCTTTAGGTCTCAAAGCTTGATATGACATTTGTTTTGTCATTGGGAGGGGACAGGAGGGTGTTCCCTGAACTTTGAGATTAGCTGTAGACAATTAGGTAAAAGTTGAAGTGTTTTCTCTGTTTGTATTCTGGTCAGAGTGTTTTGGGTAACCAAGTCACAGGCAAAATCAGATTACAGATGGTTACACCCACTTCCTAGCTCAACTGGGATGAGACATGATCTTCAAAAGCCGAGTTTCTGAAGTACGCTCTAGTTTTTGCTGCAACAGCCCTTCCTCTTCTCATCAGGCTTTCGTCATGCAACTGGCTGGGACCTGAGAGTTGTTGGTTGATAAGAAAAATCAATAAAGATGGAAAGTGTCTCTTAGGGGGAAGTTGGGTTGCTTCTGTTGCTTCAGAAACCTGTTTTTGTAATTAACACATCCACAGCTGCTTGCAGTGCTGATAAAAAAATTTGTGCTTCGTTAATGAAACCCAGTAAAGAGATATTAAGCCTCCAAATTTTCAGATGTTTCTAGCCCAAATATGACACTTTACAATCAGAGTAAAACTAATGTTCATAAACCTAAGAAAGAAAACAAAACCTTCTCGAAGTTGTAGGTTTTCTGAGAAATACTGAATATGGGACAAACACAGATTGACAACATGCCTTTAACTCCTTTTTTTTAATGAGCTGCCACTAGCCTTAACCAACAAGGGTCAATTTTACCTTGAACCTACCACTGTAACCATACCCATCTGTCCCCAGAGTCAAACCTCAACTTCACCTCTTCTCTTTGTCGCTGCCTGGCGTTGGGTTTCTATCTGCTGGCCAAGCAGATGCTCAAGCAGGTCTTAGACGGTGACATGATGCCATATCATGTCTCTGGTGCTGTGACACTGAACTCTCCTCTCCTTTCGCAGGTCTGAACTCTTCAGTTCCCAGTTCTGTCCCTTCTCCTGTGCCGCGCACATCCAGCGTCACAGTGGAGCTGGCGGGCTACTACAACGAAACCTCGGCCAACGAGACAGATGGTGCTGGTGGGACCCCCACGGGCTCCAGTGCAACCAGCCAGGCACAGATTTTCCAGCAGAGCGCTGGGGAAGCAGCCGCCGCTGGAGATGGCAGGGGGCGAGAAGTCCAGCATTCCATACAGACCCCCCCGGCGAGGTCAACAGAATGTCCACCAGCACTTTGACATCAATGAACACTTGCCATGGATGATCGTCCTCTTCCTGCTGCTGGTCCTGGTGGTTATTGTTGTCTGCAGCATCAGGAAGAGCTCACGGACTCTGAAGAAAGGACCCAGGCAAGATCCCAGTGCCATTGTGGAGAAAGCTATTATGAAAAAGTCCACCACCCCCACGCAGAACAGGGAGAAGTGGATCTATTACTGCAATGGGCACGGTGAGCAGTAGCGACCGGGGGCCATGGGGGGTTGTGTCCTCTCCACCATCCCTCATTGTGCTTTGGAGGGGCTGCCCTCACGTCCAGTGACCAGTTGCTTTTGTGACTCACTGGGCCTTGTAGTGAGGACAAAGCCCATATACTGGTTCCTCAGCTGTTTCTTGATCCATGGCTTCTCCACGTACCGGTTCCTGTGGTGTATCCCTGCTCCTGAAGGAAGGGTTAATAGAGGGAACGTCACCTGCTCACCTCAGCTCCTCTCCTTCGCACCCATCCTTGCTACAAGGATCTTGAATGAAGACTCCTTCCCCCCCACCCCTCCTCCCACACCCTTCCACCGCTCTGTTTCACTCTCTCCTTATTTTCTCGGTGACTCAGGCGTGGGTCTGGTTGCCTTTCATGGCATCCTTTTTCCCTCACCCCATCTGTGTCTGGAAAGCTGAGTCATCCCCCGCCTTTTGGCAGCACCTAGATTTTAGGTTCTTATACCTAAATCCCAACTGCTGGCTTGTCCTCAGCCCTTCGCCTGTGCTGGAGCCAGGAAGGTTGTCCGTAATGGCCGTGTTGCGGAGGCGTACAACTCCGTGAGTGTCGTGAGGTCTTCCTGGAATCTCTGTTTTGTAGTGTTTTCTGTTCTTTTGGTCCGTGAATTGCTGTCAGCTTTTTGATGAGACTTAAAGATGACCTCTTGTGGTCATTAAATTGAGATTTGTAAAAAATCTATGATAAATTAATGGTGGCACGAAGACAAGCACCAAGCAGCTATGATCTCCATAATAGGATGCACGGTTCTTCCTCAACAAAGCTGTGGTGGCAATTTTGACTCCCCCTGTCCTGTGAAGACAACATTGACGAGTCCTTCCTTTGGGTTGAAGTTGCTCAAACCTAAACAGCTGTTCACAGTTAGCCTTTAGAAATTAGTGATTTAAAAAAAAACAATAAGGAAGGGGGGGGGGGGGGGGGGAACCAAACAAAGACTGGATTGAAAAAAGATTGTAAGGTTTACTAGAGATTGGTGCTTGATGACTGTTATCCTTGAGTGCTCAAGTACAAAGCAAAGAAGGCTTTGAGTAGGGCGTCTTCTGTCATGTACTCTCTCTGATTAATAGACCCGCACTTTGTTTGCCTTTGTTAATGCATTTATAGAACCAGTAAGGTCTTGTTGGAATTAGTTTTGTGCCTTCACTTGTGTTTGTGCTACTTATCTGTTTCCTTTTAACTCTTTTGAATTCTTGGGGTGAGGTTTCTTGAACTTCTTTCCCTGTGCGATAACTTTTTCCAACCAGTAACCCCAGCATTCCATTGTCCCTAAAATCTTTGGTACCCAAGATGTGATCCTTGGGGCGATGGTGAGTGATCTGCAGTGGGGTTGCAGAACCTTATTAAACATCCTTATTTGTGGGCGCTACCAGAAAAGCTACCTGGCTTTGGCCATGGTTCATTGGCCAAAAGTGGATGGTTGTTACTAACGTGTAGTAACTTTTTTCCCATGACCTTAATTACCAGTTGGTTGAATTTCTCACTTTCCTGTTTTTTGGAGCAGTGAGTGTTGTTATCTCGGAGCAGGGGCTGAGTTTGTACAGGGCAGGGAGTGCTCGAGTGCTGGAACCACACAAAGTTGCTTTGAGCGGGTGCAGCTCTGGTTTCCAGACTGGCATTTTGGACCCTGTGCCGAAATGCCTGCGCTGCAGCTGGTCCTTCTGGAGCCAACGTTAGAGCTGCCTTTGTGGGCAGCGTTGTGCATGTGGTCAGCAGGTATGATTCAGACTAAAAAAGCCATGCAGGCAGAGAAAGTGATACGTGGTGAGCAATGAGGCTATATTAGCCCACTTAGGTCTAACCCCACCTCCCAAATATTGTCATCCTTTGGGGGATAGTCATTCATGGGTCATCCTGTGCTTCCCAAGATGAGTTGTTCTGGTCTTCTCTGTCATCCTTTAACAGCTGAATTCAGCTTCTGCATCAGATTCACAAGATATTTGCAAGGTTTATCCCTTGTCTTAGGAAATAAGCTGGATGTAACAGCAAAACCACACTTGGCTGGTAAACCGCTCCAGTATCTGACCAAGCCTCTCGGGTCTGGAGGAGAATTGCCCCGGTACTCCGGGCTCGCGGCTCAGCCGCTTTGCACTCCCCTCCTGGTCATTCTTGCAATAGTCACGCTGGCTCTGTGTTGGCATGGGTGGCTTCATGACTTCCTCATGCCTCCAAATGTCCTCAGCTGAACTCTGTGCAATGAAGGCTGGCAGACGAGCGCAAGCCAATTAACGCTTTGTCTGGCGTTTCGCGCAGCGCTGGTGTTGCCCGAATCTCATTGCGTTTAGCTGGAAGGGCACGGCTCATTAGTTCCTACCTGGAGATGGTGCTTTGCTGTGTCAGATATGGAAATTGTTCTCCTCTGTGGTGGTGTATAAATCCCTCTTTTGTTTTCCCATTGAAGCGTCTGGCTCTTAAGACTCTCTTTACTTGAAATGAGAGGAGATGTAGTGACCTTTTTTTAATAACTGGCTGTACAGCTAGGATGTACTGCAGAGCTGCAGCGTTGTGGCTTTGCCTTCTGCTGCTCCAGCAGTGTTTGTACCCAAATCATGCTTCATCCTGAAGCAGCATTTCAGATGATGGTGAATACAGCCAAGGACAAAGTTCAGGCTGTTGCAGAGAGGAGATCTTTCCCCTCCTGTGCTGCTAGTGCAGATTCCTCTGTGGGAGGCATCCAGAGCAAAGCCTCCCTAGATGTGGGCACCACAGCTGCTCCCCAGGTGCCAGCCTGGTTTGGGGTTGCACTGGGGGTGTGGAGGGCAAGCAGGTAGTCTTGAAATCATCTTCTGGGGTTGGGAGTGAAGTGTTGGGGTCTGGTGCTGGCAGCATGCCGACATCCGTATGACCTCCCCACCTATACGTTTGCTGCCCATGCCAACAAGGAGTTGGGGTGTGTTTATGGCCAGGGCGAAGCCCATGTACGTAGGTGTTGCGCACAGTCTACCCACGCTTCCTCCTAGTTTACCACCTCCTCCCTCATAATCCTTTCAGTAAACAGCTTTAACCTTTGAAATTTTTTTTGGCTGCGGGCTCGGCTGGACTCGCGGGAGCTGTGCTTGGGCAGCCACCCTTCCAGTGGCACTTCGTCCGTGACACTGGATGGGAGCACAGCTGGTATCCAAGGCTTTGCCCGTTTGGAGGATTTTATTGTGGATTTTTATTACCAGAGTGAAGTGTGGTCAGGGTGGCATCAGCACTGCTCAGTTCTGGAGCAAAGTCATCTCGCTGTGATTGGGCTTCTTCCCAAAAGAGGAGGATTTTAGGGTGGAAGCCGTTGCACAAACTCTCGCCTGGTTCCCGGTGGCGCTTGATGTACTTACTGAATTGCTTGAATAGTTGAGACACGTGTGCAATCCTGAGCAGTGGTTATTGTAATGGGGCATTTTGCTGATCCTCATCCTCCTGTGAGCTGGTGTCTGTGCCCCGTTCTCTCTCTGGTCATAATACATGCCTTAAATAATAACCCAAACCTAAAAATAGCAGTAGCATGGGAGGCTGGTGTTAAAACAAGACCCATGTCCTTAATGTAGACGTGTGCCAGCCAAGACAGCAAATGCCAATGATTCTCACTGGATTAAATGGTTCAGAGGTCTGGGAAGAGCTTGTGATGACTAATGGCCTGAGCTAGCAGCCAGCCTACTTCTGTGTCTGTCCCCATGTCCGTCCCCAGATCAGGAGCTCTCCCCAAAGTCCCCAGGTCTCGTCCGTGAAGGATCTTGAAGGTAGAGCAGCATCAGCGGTGTAGCTGTGGTTGGAGAAGCTGGACCCCTTGCTGCTTCAGCTGGCTCTTACTTTCTAACCCTGCAGGTGGGAATCCAAAGGAGAAAAGCAGTTTGCCAAAAATTTCCAAATAAATTATCACTGTAGTGCCTGGATGACATGGCTACTGGACTGATAGTGCTCTGTGGTTTTAACCTGGCATGACTACTTTATCTTAGAAGATCAAGAACAGCCTACGCACTGGAAAGACTTTTTTCTAAACAGTCCCTTTATTTTAGCAAATACCAATTTCATTTCTTCAGCTGTTTCGAAAGGCATGGAATTGAGCTTGTAATAAAAATGGAGAATAGAAGCCTGTCTCGTGAATGTCTTGGAAATGCCAAATTTGGCTTCAGTCTGTGTCAAACATGAAGATGGGCCTGAAATCATCTTGCAGAAATTGCTCATAGCGTTGCCTTTGATTTTCACCCATTGCGTAGCAGAAGATGAAAGGCAAGAGACTTGTTAAATGTTACATTTTGGAGTAAAACCTCCTGTGTATAGAAGCTGCCTGACATGATGTGCCAAGAGACAAGAAGAGAATTTGGTGATTTTTTTTTTTTTTTTTTTTTTTTTTTTTTTTTTTTTTTTTGTTGAGTTGAAAGACTGAAGAACAGATCTTGGCAGCCGTGGCCTGGCATGAGATGCCACTTCCCTTTGATTTTTCTTCAAGTCGGGTAATTGCACATTATTGCAGTGGGTGGTGAAAGCAAAGCCAGGAAGCCGCTGGTTAAATAATCAGAGTTGTTCTGCAAAAGCTATTTGCAGCCGAGATGGAGCCGAGATCACCTTGGTTGGCAATTTGTAGGGAATAGTCCTTGGCTTGCAGCTCGGTTGCTGTAGGACCAGGGCTAGGCTTGAGCTTGTTCTGCTCCAAATGAAGCTTGTGAGGCTGCCACGAAGAACCTGACCCTGTGCTGCAGCTCTGAAGCATCCCCATGTGAATATAACCAACGGGTGTGTTGTCAGTATGCATCGGGACATCTTGGGTCATCGCAGGCTTGCCCTCACGTGGAATCAGACACTCACTTATGGTTAGTGGTGGAAGATGCTTATCAGAGTAAAATTACTTGCTTCTTCTAAAGAGACAGCATATTGACTAAAAAATCCCATACATAACTGTAATCTTTTCTGTAGATCCATCACCTAATGAATCCAAGGTGACACAAAGCCTGGTGTCACTCCCTGCTCAACTGCCACCC